CGCAATCCGCTGACTTCTGGAAAAGTGGGATCGACAAATTGCCAATGAAATGGATGAAGGTCATCGATAATAACGGCGACTATATCTTTGATTGAACTTGTCCTTGATTGTATGAAAAACGATGTAAAATTTGTGTTGTTAGTGTCGCATTATTTTCTGGACAACCCAATATATCGTTTTGGTGCTGACTAAAAAGCTCAACCACGGCTTCCATAGCGGACCCATTGCTGACATTTGTGTAGAGGGCATCTACATCGAAGGACACCATGACGCAGGAACCACTGAGCTGCAGTGCGCCAAGGCGATCCAGCAACATTTGGGGGGTTGTGAGGTGGGAAGGAATGAGCTTATTCTCTCCCACCTCACAAATAAACTTACTTCGACCGTCGGTGCCGGTCCAAATTCTCGTCAGCTTCCATCAGTTGTCCTGGAACACTTCATCCTCGCACCTTTTTTTAAGGGACTCATCGTGATAAGCGGTTGAACGACTCACGCTTCGACAGACACCTTATTGGTCCAGGTGCATCCCCATTCATAACATTCTCTACCTCGTAAGACTGCTCTTCTGTCTATAGCGCAATGGGACGTCCGCATGGTGAGGCCTGTCAAAATAGTTTCTCTCCCGAACCTGACCAGGGATGAAAGCTTGAGGACAGTGTCGTCACTGTTCTTAATGGCGGGAAATGACCCAATCAAGCACCTTTTTCCCCTGCTTCTTCCCGTCACAGAATATTATTGTATGTTGTTCCTTTCATCTACCGCATCTTCTACCGTGACATCGAATCTAGCGGCGTCCTTCTCCTTGATCACGCTCCGCTACCTCTACTTTGAGACTCTTTAAGCCTTAAACTCCAATGCCTTCCTTATCGGATGACTTGTTATCCTTTTCAGATCGTGACCCTACCATCAAAGACGCTGCTCTCCCATCTTCAGCTAAACAAAAGCTGTTCGCATGGCCTTCCTCTATCCTCGTTTCTCACTAGCCGAGTCTAACCGCATGTCCATCGAAATCATATCGGCGGTGTGAAGCTGTCTATCATTATTCTTGCCATCTGACCAGCACTCGTCGACGTAGAGTATAGTGAACCTCACACTTTCCGAGATACCTTTCCTTTGAGTGACCTGAAGCACCGCCAGTCGCGAAGGACACTACTGTAATTTATCACTTCATCCATGCATCGTGAACTCGAGCCTTCACAGCATTATGCACACTACAACTAAATCATTTATCAGGTACCGATACCTGAAAGCATTCCCCAGGAGACCCGAATGGCTCTGCGCATCTCTCAGCGTACAGGATAGAGTTCAGCGGTCCATCCAAGGTGCTTTTGTAATGACATTAAATGTTGTAGGAAGAGGAACGAGCTCAAAGATGACACCTGGTGTTCGCCTACAAAGAGGTCTATTGCTCTGTCAGGGTAACGTTGGGTATAACGCTGTTTTGGAGTCTGTAAATGATTCTAAACTGGAACATCGAGTGTTCTGAAACGACTGGTCATGTAAACAGTCGAATGTTCTCTTCCGAATCGGATAAGGTTAGGTAGCAGAGTTCACGCTTTCCTCCATACAGCTTCATCACCTGCTAGCTATGAAGATGCCCTTCGTTGTAGACCTTTCCTGTATGAATCCGAACTGTTCTGTGAGATGGGCTCTAGTTCCCTCAACCGCGAGTACACCAACTATTTGTAGAGATTCACCGTAAGCACATTCAACCTGATCCCCTCTTAATGGAACACTTTACCGCGTCCTTTTAGTGCTTTAAGGGGCAGTATTGCTCAACCACGTATCTGGGAGTCTTTTCTCGGTGACCACAGCGTTCAGAGTCTAGAACCGTGCAGTCCATGTTAATTTTTCGATAGTCCCTTCGACTGGTACCGTACCTGGACCAGACGCTTTCCCCATCTTCACAACCCCTCATGCACAGCAGATTCCATGCTCCGCCCCTAAAGCGATTAGTTCAGTAGTATCTCTTTCCTGGCAGCTCTTTTTCCGCCGTAAAATTGTGCGATTAGGAGCCCGTTGAAGTATTCTTATCACCACTTACGCTTGGTCTCTGTTGGCTTTCTCAAAATGTCAGTGTTTTTTAGACTTCACTGCACCAGTGAGTGCCAAGCTTTGGCAGACAGAAGAACTGTTCAGTCTCGACCACCGAACTTCTTGTACAACTCGTTCACCTTCGCATTCTTTACTCCCGCTACGATACCCTTGGCGAGCCTCTTGAACTTCTGTAGAACTCTCACCCAGTGTTCCTTTGTACCTTCACCGAGTCGTTCCTTGTTGTTGGACCAGTCCAGAGAGCTCTGTTGGCAGCGAAGACAGGCAGAAGGTCGCTGCTACGGCCATACCATATTTTGGTGACTTTCCCGTTGTAGAAAATTTTGACACCTTCCTAAACTTCTCCGACCTTGGCTCCTCCCGCGTGTTTCTTAAAGACGTGGATGTCCCACGATTTTCTAGAACTCACGGTTATGCGCGTTCCCCTGAATGTTGTCTTAACATTGTCTTTGTTTCTCTTGGTACTTGATTCAACAATGCTGAACCAAGTAGCGAGAGAAACGCTGATATTGCTCCTCATCAGCCGACCTTTGAGTAAAGTGTAACAAACTGAAGTCAGTGGAGCTTAAAAACGACAACAAGCAAACACATCAAAAGGACAAAATAACCATACAGACTAAAGATGGCTCGGTTTGCCTCTTCATCAGGTTTAGCTTGGGTCTGACGCCAAAACCGTTGTCATTTTTACAACTTTCGCAGAGCATGATTTTTGCCTCGGAATGGATCGAGGTCGTTACCGTTTCGGAGTGCAAACATGTGCCCATATTTTCGACCACTTGCCTATCACTCCGATTGCCCCATGATAAGCCAATGAAATATTGAAAGTTAATCAATGAAAAGAGCAAAGCACTCTGCTATTTTGAATGACCGCCTATACTCTGCGCTGGCCAGTTTGTTAGAGGTGAAAGGTGAAGTGCACAGCCGGAGGGGTCGATCGACTTATCATGACGATCCACTGCAGATAATCCACTTTGCCCATGCAAGGACCTTTCGTCCTACTTTGCTACAGAACACAACCTACCCAGCAAGAAAGTGCGGACCAGAACAAGAATGTTTAAAATGTAAAGTTACAGCAAGAGTAGCGAGGGGTATCGGCCAAGAGCATATGAAACAATTTCGACGTCCTTGCAAGTCCCGAGGTGAGGGCAGGGCAACGAGTGTGATAAGGTTCGACTTTCAAGGTTAAGAAGAATATATGTCTTAAAATGTGCAAACGTTGTGCCCCTAAAATTCTTCTTCACGAACTTCCTACAGGCGAGCAATTCTCTATCACTGACTAGGTGTAAGTCTGTACAAAAAAAAACGAGGAAGCACACAATTCCTCGAGGATTCTAGTACACAGAACTTCTTTTATGGGTGCATGTGTATCACCAGCGATCGTCGTAGTCGTGACCAGAATCATACGGAATAAAACTTAAAGGCAGGAGCCAAAGAAAGAAACGGCTCCATAAACAGCTCTGAGTAAACATTAACACATTATGTACGGTTAGGCACAGGTACCAGTAATCAAGAAATTGCAAACTGCAGAGAATGAAAGATGTAAACGAAAAATTTTGAGCGCACAATATCGAACCCCAAAACACAGAATCAAAGAATCAAAGGACTCGATCCTGTGTTTTGGGGTTTGACATGGTACTCACGAGGGAAGTCCAATCGTCAAAATTCGTGGAAAGCCTAACCTATCGAGCCGAATGAGTGGATTCAAACATTTCAAAAAGTTTCTACCAGTTGACGATGGTCGTGTGATTAATGTACTTATGAATGGAGAGGAAAATCAGATTTAAATGCTCAGTTTGTTTGATAGAATAGCTTGAGCATAATATGACCCATGCCTTGAGGTTATGACACGGCTTTCTGCAGTATAAGGATCAAGAGCAAGAATGGGTTCTAATTTGTTCCAACTCACCTGCACATAGGCATACTTCCACCTGGGAGTACGTTGATAACTTGCGGAACACCTGAAATTTTCACCATGTTCTAGAACAAGCAAAACGAATAATCTAAGGAGGTAACAAAATAAGAAGAGTAGTATACCTGGAAGACCTGGATGGCAAGTTCTCTTGTTGGAACGAGGACCAAAATACGAGTACAAGAACGAGTATTCGACCGATACAGAAGCCTTTCCAGAATCGGCAACACAAAAGCAGCTGTTTTTCCCGTTCCGGTTGCTGCACAAGCGCAAATATCTTTTCCAGAAAGAGCGACAGGAATACAAGCTGCTTGAATCGGGGTTGGTTCTGTGTAACCTGCTGCAGCAATCGCCTTAATAAGAAAAATTAGTGATTCACTTATGCCTGAAATGCTTTCAGATGAACTTCAAACATCAAGGAGTTCCCATTTGTCCCTGTTGAAAACAAAATTGTTAAAAACTATCGATGTTATAATTCTCAAACCTTTAGCATTGGACGTGACAAATTCATTTGATCAAAAGTGATATTATCCGAAACATCCATTGCCTCCTCAAAAAAGTCATCATGTTTCTTGACATTTTTCTTTCCCATTTTCTTCTTTTCTCGCAATGTGTCTGAAAAGGAATAATGAAACTCATCGAATGATGAGAGCGTGAGTATGCTTGAACTCTACCCCCGAAGCGTTTAAGTGGTGGAAGATTTCAAAATGGGCCCATTCTTCTCGAAATTTCATCATCTTTTCGGATCTTTTCGAATCTTTAGGAGAACAAACAGGTATGAATTCGAAAATAGTAGCGAAAAATGAAAAAAGGCATTCAAAGGCGCAACGAATGTCTTCACCACTTACATTCTTCATCAAACACAAAAAGCGACTACTGAGCAAAATCAACGCATCAGCGATATAAGAATACTTGATATTAAGGCAATCAAGAACTTGCAAACCTCTTGCTTCCTTCCCTCCTAATTGTTCAACACCATCATCTTCATCTTTGACGACTACTTCAACTTCTTTAGAGGTGTTTTTTGCTTTGCGAACTGCTTCAATCTTTTCTTCCAGTGTTGACGCAACTTCTTTGCGTAGATACCTGAATTCCAATAATGACTGCACTGCAGTGTCTCAAGAACTGCAAGAGCATGGCTCTTTCGCCAGTTTCCGGTAACATGAATCAGACTCACTTCTTGAGAGCAGCATCATCACGATCGAGCTTCTGCTCATCAGAGCATTCAAAGGAAAAATTCGGTGAGAACTCGTCTGCTGCTCCAGCAACCTTCTTCTTTTTCACAACCGCAACAGCCTTAAATTTAGCACAATGAGAAACCTAACAGACAAACCAATGTGCCTTTAAAATCTTGTATAAGGAAATGTGGATGCAGTAGTCCAAGCCGACACTACCTCAATATCTTCCATATTTTCATCCTCGCCACTTTCGTCTGCTTCAACTTCTTCATCACTATCGATTGCTGCAGGATAGAGATTAGCCATCTGAAATGAAATAAAAGAAACATGAGGTTAGGAACTTTGCAGTAACGAGCGACAAAATGACACCGTAGAGATATATGGCTGCATTCATAGTACCGACGCCAGCGTCAGCGTTGGGCGTCAATCTCACGAAAGGCAAAAACGTGCTCAAAGAAAAATATTACGCGGCCAATGTTAAACCTGTAATCATTTCACATACAAAAACAGCAGCGGAGTAAAATAACCCTTTTTCAAAGCTTAGAAATCATTTCACGCAGCAAAACCATGGACAGTGAATGACTTCTATAACCACGTTCCCACCTAGTTCTGCTACCATCTGCTCCACTTAGGAGCGAGTCCTTTTTGCACTCCCTAATGTTTAGTCGGGTCAATTAATTTCAAGCCCTCAAGCAACATACAAAGTAAGTGCTGCTCATGTCAGCGTGTTATAAGCCTAGTCAGAGAAACGAAATATGATAAAATTCCGCGTAACATAAAATAATAAGACATTCACGGCTTGAACCTGACTCTCTAAGTGTTTCTTTTAATGTAGTGTATTTGCACAAATATAGAAATACGAAACAGTAAGGCACTTAACTGATATTCGCTTTCCCACAATGCATAGTCCGACAACCACTCACCCAGAATTTCACAAGTGACACCACGATATGAGAATGAGGGGCAACTTATAAATTTATAATGCACACCTTGAACATAAAAACTTTATTTCCAAATAATTCACAGAAAAGTTATAATTTCGAAGGCATCAACACACCATTACACAACAACACATTAGGAAAATTGAAACGAAAATTACTCAACAATAACTTATCCGCAAAATCACGTTTGCCATCAGCAGAAAACAGTGTAAAACTTACAGAGAAAGACTATTAAGAAGAATAGGAGGTTTGCAGAACAAAGCAAACTGATCTGCACGAAAAACCCCTCCGAAATTAAAGGGAACAACTAAGTTTATCTAGAGTCAATCTATTGTAACGGAAAATTTACCGATTACAGACAAATTCATAGCAAAACGCACAAATTTAATGCGTAGCAAAATGTGGCGTCAAGCGTGTGTCCGGCGAATCCTATGATATACAGCCTTGCACTGGTTTAATTGAGCATTTTTCAGCTACCGGGCCGGCCGGGAGGAAATTTTATTTATTCTATGGATTTTCAACGGTATTCTTTTCATTCACGAGAAACCCCATCACAAAAGTACAACTGAATTACTGAAAAACTTTTACAAAAACGTAGTGTATTCTACCTGCAATGGCGACCTTTGGTGGATATCAGGCCCGAATTTTTTGCTCCTTGGGATAATTCAGTCAGCAACCACCCATAGATTATTTATAACCAATGAAATTGAGAAGTAGAAGAGAAAAAAGACAAATGTTTGATATTGTTGGTTGCTTGAACTCTTTCTAACAAAATTATACTATGGACGATATACTTCGAAGTTGGAATCATCTAATTCTCTACGCAGTCCATTTCTATCAGCAGACGGTGGGGAAATTGAATCCTGAAAACTTTCTCGTAAAAAAAATGAAAACAAAAACGTGGCTTGCACAGACACATTTTCTACACGTCCTGTAAATAATTTGTAAAAAATATTCTTTTTTTCAATACCGATGGTCGAAAAAATGAGCAGAACAAATGAACTCCTGGTTTAATGCCAGATAGAGAACTTTCGCGGAAGTGCTTTTAAAAGGGAAATTATTGATGTAAAAAGATACTTAACGGTATAACTTTCTATGACTACTGCTTTTCTTACTCCNGTCCTGTAAATAATTTGTAAAAAATATTCTTTTTTTCAATACCGATGGTCGAAAAAATGAGCAGAACAAATGAACTCCTGGTTTAATGCCAAATGGAGAACTTTCGCGAAAGTGCTTTTAAAAGGGAAATTATTGATGTAAAAAGTTACTTAACGGTATAACTTTCTATGACTACTGCTTTTCTTACTCCTCTTCAACATTACTTCCAATCCTAAACGCTATGCTGACATGTTTGAAGTAAGAACCATTGCTAGGGTTTAGGATTTGTTTTTACTAACATGTATCACGACAAACTAAAAATAGTTATATTTCTATATTATATTTCTAGCAACGTTCCTAGTAGAAACTAATCGAATGATAAATTGATCTATATTGTGTTAACAGTAGAAAACGTTTTCGACCTTATTAAAGAAGACTGAAAAAAAGCGTAACTTACCGTTTCCATTGGCTCAGCGACATTAGGTGCAGTTCCAGCTTGTTTATTCTCATAAACTCCGTTTGTTTGATATCCGACGTTGAATATAATACGATCGGTGACATATTTATCGTTACCAAAAGTCCCGTATGCAAATGCTACTACCCGATCGAATTGTGCAATTTGTTGATCTGCAACATCCGTGGTTGAATTAGTTATGGAAATCAAAACACTGACTGATGAGATACTATACTAAATTCCAAAGATACTGAGAAAATCGATTAGTTTAAGCTTCATTGCTTGTGAATTTGCAACAATACTCAGCGTGCCACCAAAAACCAAATATCAGCAATCACAGGTGCCGATTCTTCTACCCGGTGGACCGCGCTCACTGCATCCAATAGCGCGCAATCGCTGGCCACTAAAGTGAGATTTGAAATTTCAGCAGAAGGTTACGGTAATGGCCGCAAAACCGCAGCCGCCCACCGTGGGATCTTGGGTAGAAATACCGCCACCTAACAATCAGTCGCCATCGGTGAATACTTCCGTAAGTACAGAAAGAAAGCCATTAAATGTTATGTTCTTGAGTCGCCTAGAGAATTTTTCAAAAAAGGTAAAGAACGAGTACATTAGACCTTATTAACAAAAGAAAGCAGTAGATTAATTCCTGTTGGAGAACGTCTTCAATTTAGAATTGAAGAGAGTCCATACGACTTGCACCAGAAAGAGTAGAACTAAATTTCCCCATACCCTCGTATCATTTACTTACTGTTGAGAGAAGTAATACGCGAACTCTGTCTCAAAACTATACAGGAAGAGAACAGAGAAGAACTGATGCCACTGACCTTTACTGAACACAATTTCAAATTTGATCCTTTCTGAAGAGGCTAGATTACACAAAAGACTGGACGTCCATCGCCGAACGTTGACAGCGCTTTCCATATAACAGAATATTCTAACCTTCTAAACAGCGAAAACTAGAGAAACATTTCACAAATATGAACTTATACTTATAGTAACACTTATAGTTAACAACCGCACAAATTGATACATTTATAGTTAATTAAGCTAACCTTTGGGAAAGCATGGATAGGATTGCATTTGATAACGCCTTGAACTTTCTTTGTCAGAAGGAAATCTAAAACAATGGCATTCATGTATAAAGTTACAGCATTATTGAGATTAATGTTATCATTAAAAGTGGGAGATATCTTGAAGGATGCTTACTGGAAGGCTCAGTTTTGATTTCTAGAGATAAATCCTTAGGACCAGCAATTTTGCAACGTTGACATTCCATAGGATAATCTAGCATAGGGTTCTAAAAAAGCAGATTACTAACAGGAGCACTAAAACTGCAGTGACCAGAAATTTTCGAAGCGTTTCTACGAACTCAACAAAAGGAAAGAAAAAAAAAACAGTCATAAATAGGCATTCGAACCTACCTCTATGGGTGAAGAGAAGTTGATAAGCGAATTCTCGTGTGCAAAAGGCACTTCTAATTTCAAACGACCACTCTTTGAAGAGGTCTTATTTGCAGGAGTCTGAGGCGATGCCGGAATGGTAGGGGTGGGAGGCATTCGTTGGATAGTGGGAGGGGCTTGAGGGGTGCGCAAAGGAGTTTTAGCCTAAAATTATTTTCTGTAAGCTAAAAAAGAGTATTCACTAGATCTACAAAATGAAAGATAATGCAATNAACAATGCATACCGCTCCATTAACACGTTGGGGAGTTCGATCAACACGCTGTACAGGGCTTTTATTAAATGATGCCCTTCGGTCACCCGCATTTGGAATATTCGCTTCACTCCGCGCATTTCTCTGAACCAGCTTATTATATACGATGTATGTTATGTATGTATACATATATACAAGGGACAAAGAAGTCTAACTTCCATAGACCCTCTTTCTGAGACTCACCCTTACAATTACTGGAGGCTCCGGACGAGGAGAGTTATGAAATGAGTGGTTGACTGTTTGAGGAACATTTGCAACCTTCTGCTGAGGGAAATTGGGCTGTTTCGTAGCCAGAGGTCTCGCCGGTGTTCGCTTAAATGATCACTTTAGATTTTATGACAACAATAACAATTTACCAACTAGCTCGAGAAAATATGAATATGCGTAGCATGTGGTGCCCTGTTTTCCAGGCACAGTGAAAACTTCGACACACTTTGCTGGTAGATGTTTCTTGCTCATCATCATCAGTTTACATTTTGTTTCACAGGCCTATTACTTTCTGTATGCGGTTAGCGAAATATTCAGGCGTGATCTGTGACCAATCGTTCTCTGTTGCACGCCATTGGGAAGATGTATTGAAAATGTGCAGCGAGAGCTAACGCGTACGACTCGCAAGAAAATGCAACACAGTATCGAGAACCTTTTGATTACCCGCTACCAGTTCTTCCGGCCAATGCAAGACAAGACTTCAAAAACCTCAGGTTTGGAAATGAATTACCGTAATTCATAGCCGGCAGAGTAAATTGACAAAAAGTTCTGCTAATCTCTGCAGAAGCGACACTGGCAGCTGTGTACACATCTTTTAAAATAAGGGTCTCAACTAATATTTTGATTGTTGATCTTTCACCAGTCGGATCGCCCGGCTAACGCCAGGCTCTCCTCCTTCTTGTATTAAACAGCCCACCCTGAAAATGTTGAAATGAAGATTTTTTCCCTTTTTCATCATAGTTTCTAAGTTCTACCGCTGTTTAGCTGAGTTTAAGTTTTTTCCGATGTTCAGTTGAATAGCTTACGCCTTTGATTGGGAAACTCGAACATTTGCTTTCTTTCTTAGGAATAAATACCCATTGAAAATGACAATCAAAGATGATGCTGTGGAGATGTTCTGAGTGAAGATAACACCGTTCTCAGATGTCCTTTATCAATGGACCCTTTTCTTTACAGAGATATCATTAGTTGAGGAATCCAAATTATTGGTGGTCGGTTAAGTTTTGTCGCAAATGATATCGATCAAAGAGGACCATTCATTGAATCACAAACCCTGCTGGGTAGCGGTCGTAATCTAATAGTAAGAAATGAACAAAGTTCTAATCTGCTTATCGGTGCAGCTAATGGGTCCCTATCACTGCATTTACCACTCACTTTAGTCACCCTGCTCTACCATCCCGTCTTATTGAAGGAAACATACTGAACGGTCAAAGCTATATCGTAGATACCGAAGACGTTAGGATTTTGATAGGAAGGTAGCCTCTCTTAGGTCCCTTATCTTCTCTTATCATTCATGATCACTTCTTGTCACCAAGTAGCTACGATCCCGTCATATCCTCCACCACTTACTAAAATGCTGAGGTTCACTGTTAGTACGAAAAGTGTCATCCTACCTATTTTGAACGCTTTGGGTGCACGGGGACAGGAGTTATGAATTTGCGGTCCAAAACTTCCATCGCTCACGCCCCGCCCCATTTAGGCGGAGTTCGATCCTGTTACTTGTCTTAAGTGTTCCCATTCTGCTCCCCGTACTCCTACCAATTTTGAACGCTTCGGGTCCATTGGGGCAGGATTTACGAACTTGCGGTTCAAAATTTCTATCGCGCACGCCCCGCCCCCTGTGCATGAAACCCGGTCCCGCCACACATCATAGTGTCCCCACCTGCCCCCGTACTTCTACCAAGTCTGAACGCTTAAGGTCCACGGGGACAGGAGTTATGAATTTCCGGTCAGACACACGCACCGACATACACACACACATACAAACAAACCCACACAAACATACCGACACACCAACAGGCACACTTAGCGAATTATATATAGTAGGATTTTGAAGAAATCGATATTTAACGAACCTACATATATTCTTCCCATTTTTTCAATCACTATGAACAGTCAGGAAGTTACAACCCTTGCTTATTATTCTCAAGAACACTCACTTGCAAAACATTCAACTGGCACTCAAAGTCGCGAATAACGGCACTTTGTCTTTTGATGACACCTTCCATTATTGATATCTTCCGTTTGTGCTTTTCCGTCTCTTCATTGAGCCTTGCAATCTCTAAAATAAATGCATAAGAAAATGAATTGCTCGCGAACTGTACCCCGTATAGGCTATAAGAGCGCGGATTCAATTCATTACTAGTATTTCAGTTGCATACGGCTGTATCCAGCGCAAGAAGGTTACCAAACAGGTACCTTATTGAATGTGTAAAAACAAAAGACTGCCACGGATTTATCGCCTCAAACCGAAATAGATTATTATGTTTGTGCGAAGTCTATCAGAATAAACTTTGCACATTTTTATGACTATATGTATAGATTTTTGCCTCACTGAATCTATGCATAGCTTCTACTGCTAATGAAATACATGAATTCCCTGGATAAAAAGTCGTCCTCGTATAAACCTCTAATAAGTTTCCACGTTCTGGCTTCTATAAACCTCGGCATTGTTGTGAATTGATGCTGATCTTGCTTGGAACTCGTAACTTGGAATTTTCATAACAACCTCGTGGGAGTTCCAAGCAAGATCAACATCAATTCTAATAAGTTTCTTAAGAAATTCAATGGTATGGACAATTCAGAAATGATTTCAGTGAAAAAAAAAAACGAAAAACTGTAAGGCCTACCAGATTGTTGAGTACTGCATATTCGACGGAGTCTCGTACTCAAATCTTCTAATGTATTCATTTTCTTTCGCAGTGTTTGTGTTTCTTCCATCACTGCCATGCAACCAGGGGATTTGCATTGCTCACTTAGATGCAATCGTACAATCTAAAATATGAAATTGCTGTAAGTGATCATGAAATGGAAAACGAACATTTGTCTTGTTTTCAAATTGAAAATGAACAACCCAACAACCACAAACCATTTCCTTCCTGTCTAGTCTAATATGTCATGGACTGTCATTTCGGGATTCGATGCATCTAACTTCCTGTATAAGTCACTGCTTTCATCCATGAATCTGGCACCAATTAATTGCCCAAGGAAAGATGGTAAAGCAGCGGAAGATGGTGCCAAGTGAAAACACTGTCAGGGATAGGGACAGACCCGATGGTTGCGCAGAAAACGAAGCTTTCAATCTTGTCGCAATCGTTCGATTGGTACTATACATAGCACTAAAGAAAAGATTCTGGAGGGATGGAAAGTTTGATTGGGCAAAGCCTGTAGGACAAAACCACACAAAAATGCATCGGCTAGCCGCAATAGAAAAATCTGCAGTTTGCTACGGATTTGAATCCTGAATAAAGTTCCTGTGTGAGGCCTCTTTTCAAAGCGGAACTGATCAGTATCACAGAGCTCGGTCATTAGGCCAGAAAACTGCCTTGGAAAAGATTCCTGTGAAAAAGCTCCGGTCTTAGGCATCCAAAAAGACATTGACATGTATAGAACATCTCTGCTACGCCGGTCTTCTGAAGGTAGGTAGTTGCTAAGAAATGCGGGCAACTAGAAGAGCAGATCTATTAGGATTTTGAGCTTTTAAAGTAAGAAACGAAAAGAAACATAGCATAAACTGATGGAACGATTGCCAAACTACACCTGTAGCAGGAGTCTAGACACTTGGGACGGCTCTGGCTCTGGCTCTGGTTGGACATTCTGAAAATGAAAGAATAAGAATAACTTTGAACTCATTCTACCTCTTGAAGAAACAGACACAAGAGCTGAGTACTTGGAGGGTTCACTGAGCTACTCTGAAACCGTGTACATAGTTTTTGGCAGGGAATTTTGAAAAAAATCTCGATAAGGCTGCCCTGACGAAGGGTAGAAGCCCGCTTGCTGAGTTTTAAATAGGTAGGTAGGCACCAGAACAACAATCTCGGCATGATGACAGAGTTGTTTTTTCTATATGCAAAGTTGGATAAGCAAAAGTTGTAACCCTCAGATACTACCATATTTGGGAACGCCGGATCCATTGAATAGAATGCAAGGAGAAGGTCAACTAGCAAGCAGATAGAAAACTTCTAAGGTACTACTTAACATTAACAGCTATGTGGAGGAGGCAGCGGAGAGATAAGCTCAAACAGTAGACTTGCAGATCCGTTTTGCGAGAAAAAATCACCTATAAATTAAGTTGTTTTCCATTCACCATTTTACATTTTTTCAAATTTTTCAATAATCATCGGAATTCGCATCCGAAGCAGACAAAAGAAAATGATTGCAGAGTGTGCTGCTAAGTAAAAACTGTTTCGCTATTCTATGAGGCTGAAGCAGCGGGATATCTGGCCCTCTCGATAGAGACGCAACAGAAAAAGGTTCCGATAACGCGTTCGATAACAAAGGCGATGGGCTTTTCCTAGACGCGTAGCCCGATGCCATTAGGTACGTTTATGACCACTGTGGTTTTCATGAAGCTGCCAAAGCCAAATTCGAATCAAAGAAGAAAATTCTGAGTAATAGTGCTATCATATGATACAGAGGTTGTTGGGAAATGACACGGTGCATACTGGACCTTGTCTGAGCCACTTGGACGAGAAAGTATCTTGTTCTATATGACAGGAAGACGTATAAAAGCAACTTCAAAGTTTTAACCGCTAGAAGATTTGCTGTCAGGAGAGAGATTGCGAGTTCCAACAATTGAAGAGTGATGCTGGCTAGTCTCCCCACCAAGCTCTGAGCTTCTGAGTGCAGATTAAAGTGACACGATTCCCTTGGAATTGTGAGCCTAACCATCAATCTTCGGACTATCTGGCCCGTAAGTCTTCAGGGAGTTCCGGGAGCAAGGGTCTCACAGGCAATGCTTGCTCCGATGCTTCGCACACAAACGTAGCCCCAATAACCACACCATTCTTTACTTATTACAACCCCATTATTTCCGTATCTATGACAATCTTGCAATACTTGACGGTAAAACAGCCATTACTCCCGTCACCCCCCTCTTCCGAAGATGGAAGATAACAGAATTCTGAACATTTGTTTTCTGCTGGGGCCAACACTATTGATTTCACATTTCCTGCTTTTCTGCAGCTGTCTGGACTCATAACCCGCCAAAGATTATCGAGAACTTTTGCAACATTTGAGAAATCCATTTTAGGAAGCCTGTTTCACTTCCCACGCCATCACCCCATTCTCCTAAACCTTACGAATTGAGAAGAATTGATTCGCTAGACGACGGTCGCCTCGTGAGGTTTACTATGAAGTATTTATATGAACCGCGTCGCAATTCCCTTTGCCCCTGCCTGGACCGTAGGCGCATGCCGTATGGGCTCAGACTGAAGGCAGGATTGCAATCGCTCGATACCCATATACTGCACTGCGACGAATGTGAGGGCAATCGATTGGGCGCGAACATCACAACGAAACGAACGAACATTGGGAAAAACTCGATGGTCACATATGCTAGCGGACACTGCAATGCAAATTGAATCCACTTGTGAGTTGTGTAGTCCATTTCTAGGGAACTCGCTGTGGAGTTTCTTCGAGAAAACTAAACTTCAAAACTTTCGGAATAAAAGTTTACTAGTACCTGGACAAGCGTTGAAGAAGAAGTCGGGACATCATCACAGTCCAAGCAAATAATATCATCATCGTCCCCGTATGAATACGATGTCTAAAATATTTAATGACAGTACACCATATGACGTCATTTTGTGTCTCAAGAAAAGTGGACGTGTTTCCTCACTGTGCAAAGATCCTCGACAGCAACTTCAGTATAGCCGAATTCGGTTTTCATCTCGACCGCTGTCATGGCATATGCTTTTTATGAGTGAGACCCGAACTTAAAATATGTTCATCATATCAAAATGAAAAAATAGCAGAGTAATCAATCGACGGTAGTCAAACACAAGCACTCATCGAAAAGAAAGGAAAAGTAATGATCAAAAGACAACTCAATGACAATCAACAACACTTGAAATGTGGCAACGCAAACGCGCACGAGTTTCCGCACCCGAGAACTCGTCCATAATGGGCGTGCGGAGGTCACGAGGCCTACCCGTCACCTCCACCGCTATAGTAAGGCCCTGTATATTTTTGTTTATATCATGTTATTGCCTATAGAATGCAAATTGCCATAAAGCCGAAGGAAGTAGACGAATAATTGGGGACCCGCTTAAATTAGTGCCTTTTGAGGTGATGTTTGGGAATCAATGAAGTTAATTGCCTTTGAACGAGTTTCAAAACACATGTTGTAGTTATTTGTTAAAAAGACAACACTATGTAAACAACAACAAACAAACACCATGTAAACATTCAAAAGACTGCGTTAGTTGTATACTGCACTTTTTTGACTATGCGAAGTTATTTAGCAAGATCACTGGCAAAGGCGGCAGGCAAAAACAATGATGGTCCCACGTGGAATCCGTGACGAGGTGCTGTAGGACTAATCCGCCTTCGTGATACAATTCGACACCTTCGCCAAACCCCCGCTTGGGTACACCACTGCAAGATACGAAGAAAGTGCAGTTAGGGTAGGCCGACACCGAAGGGGACGAGTTCCACAATGATGTACGAAACGCCCAGAGGAGCCGTGCAGTCCGCTAGTGTGTCGCGCCGATCGATAATCGACGACATCGTGGGTGCCGTGTGAGTCGCAGTGACGAGGGTCGCGGACAAGATTGCGGCGTTCGCGCGCGGTGGCCCGATCTGAAGCATGTCTCTGTGGTCACATATTCGAGGCCGTGCGCCCGGAGAGGGGCACACGCGAGGCTGTTTGCAGGGTCGTCGCGGCCAATAGGGAACACCCACTCTGCTAAGGTTATTGATTCCCCAGATAGCGATTCAAGGACAGTCATGCAGGTGGCCCCTGATTGGAGGAGTAGTATCGATTGTGTCTTTAGACAGGAGATGACATCATCGTGACACACTTTGTGTAAAAATAGATTAAGCGGGACCAGATGGCTCTATTGATTGGCACTGAACTTTTGACTATTCGAGGGTGCTCTCTTGTTTGACCTACTTAAGAGTGATTAATTTGTGGTAGGTGGCTCGCCTATGTAGTGGTTCAATGTGGTCCAGCATCTACATAAATCAACCTCTTTCTTCTCCATGATAAGCTTGGCACCATTTACCCAATCAAGAACAACGGAGTCCAAGCGGTTTCCCGTTCCGGGATCAGATTCCCAAGTGGCAGCGCGCCAGTTGCCCCTCCCCGGGTCTCCCTTTCGACATGGGGCACAGGGTCAATATTTGCCCGATTACATGCGGCATCTTCCCTGCAACTTCGGGAGCATGCAAAAAGTCATCGATTAGCCTGAGAAAGTGCAAGGTATGGGAACATGAACCTAATTTGCCCTTTTGAGGTAAATAAAAGACCCAAAGGCGTGGGCTGGTCGACCATGCATGAGCAAAGATGGTGACCCACATAGAATCATTGGGACCAAAAACCTGACCTTTTTATTTTGCAGTTAATATCGTTTCTTATACTATTTTTGTTAATGTTTTGTCCCCAACTACCTCAAAACTAAAGCTGGAGAGCGGCGGTAGAACTGCGCCCTTTTTAGCAGCTGTGAAAAACATCAGCGCTACTGCTCCCCATCCTCACATCCAACTGTGCCCATGAGCGCGCAGAGCGCCCCGCGAGAAAAATGCGTTTCCCTTGTGAGAGCGCGGAGACGCAGGGGGAGATGATAACAACAGCGCGCACTCGCCGCCCACGCCCTTGTCAACACGATAAGTTGATGCCATCTGGTCGGGGACTCGGCAACGCCCACACACAATCCCCATTGAGCAACAGATGTCCACCTTTAGCATTAGAGCTACGTGGGACATACACAACATTACATTTCAGTTATGTGTAATGTAATTAGTGGGCTACCAGCTCATCGAGGAAGACAAAAAGTCCAGTTATAAGTTGACTGACGTTTCTAGCCATTGTGAAAGCCTCGAAAGCCATACTGATTTTGAAGAGAGTTGCATGCATGGCGCATCCTCGAGGTGGCGCATGGCGCATCTTAGCGCTCCGTTTCTCATTTTATCGATTGATGATGGCCTTCCTATAGATGATGAGAAGGGTGAAGTCTTTTTCGAAGGGGTTGCACTCTTGGGATACGCCATGCATTCAATTTCCATTCGAAATTGAGGGGCGTTAGAATATGCATGCGGCCTGCACAACGAGGTGGGCCATTCAATACACAAGCCAGTGCTTCTAGTGCTTCTATCTTCTCAGATGACTCAGGGACCAATTACCAGTTATGGAGAGCTGGAAGAATTAATACATGGGCGGATACCAATACGATTTGTTTAGTAGCGACACCATTTGCCACTATCCCACATGGGCCTTCGCTGATAATTATGCAAATTACTCTGTTTTCACTGAGCAACTCATGGCCTGCTCTCTCTGCTGCGACTTCTACCTCTTGCTCTCCGACTTCCGCTCACTGTCTCCTTCGTCTCACTCTTCCTCCCATTCTTTGTTCGCCTTTGTTTCTCTTGGTTTCCCACTCGCAGTGACGCCTCACATCAGCACCTCACAGCTATTTCCGCTTTTTCTCGTCCTTCGCCGAAGTCCTTGAATGGGTAAGAGCCCTGAACATATACTGATACTTATGGGGATAAAAAACTTACACGAGCACCATTTCGCTTTCCCTCAGAATGGCTGCCACGAAATTGGGGTGGGCGAGGTTATGTGGGAGCACTATGTGGGAGAAAATCGATTGGAAACAGTTGCTCGTCAAACCTCAGCGGTTGCGCCATGCACTTCACTTGCATTCGAAATCGCGTAGACATTCTCCATAGAATCTTGTTGTGAAGGAAGCAGAGGGACCTAAGAAGTCGATTTTGATCTTTTCGAAGGGGAATCATGCACTGATTGATCGTCCCAGGAAGAGCACTTCGGTGCGACATCTGGAACTGGTGTTGACTGCCTACAATTAGCAGGCAGTCAACACCAATTCCAGATGTCGCATGCTAGCAGGATACATTTTTATTGCGAATATGCGAATATATCATCCCAACTACTCTTTCCCTTCCTCTACTCCCTATGCGAATTTCCGTCTACTTGCAGTGTTTGGGGGCGGAGTAGTAGGAGGAAGCGGAAGGAGGGAAGGCGAAGAAAATCAAAGCGTTGCAGAGAACTTAATTAAGCTAGAAATGCAGAACGTCGCTCACAGAAGACCTGCAGCAGACGTTCAGCTGACAGCAATAGGATTGAAAAAAGTAGTACTGGGTAGTCTAACAAAGGAACAAAAAAAATATGGTGGAGAGCATGATAACGGAGATTCGAAAAAAAAGATGTGGAAAAAATGTGCACGTGGTTCCATTGCGAACACCACACTGTTTCCTTCATACCGTAGAAAAATAAGAAGTTACGATCCATCGAAAATTACCATATTTTTTTCGGAAACATCATTAAAAACTATTATAACAACTATTACTTTTATACTATTGTAAGCACGTGTGATCTACGGTATTCGGCGTGAGGTTCCACTCAGTATAATCGCAGTTTCACATTCTGAACTGTGAAGGATGGAAACGAACCGAGTCCGGTATTCCCCCCACCCCCCCAAAGCACTGCGTCGCGCTTGCCGCGCACGCCGCGTACAGCTGCTTTCATAGTCCGCCGGCCAGCCCGCGAGCAAGCGCGCCTGTCGCGGGACAACTCGGCCTGCGGTATCGATCAAGATTCGGTTGTAAACGAGTAGTAGCAAGCGCCGCCCCCGGCCGGCGGGCTATGAAAGCAGCCTATCGCAGAAATGCGATGGAGGATTGTAGCGCGCAATCTTTGAGTTAGAGAGGTCTCTGATTGTTTAAATTTGTTGGCCACTTTCCTCATTCCCAATACAGTCTTGATCGTCGATTATAGAGAGGGAGTCTTCTCACATCAACAGCCATTCTAATAAACGTAAAGCAAAGCAGAAACGAGAAGAAACAGTCAGAAACAATCAAGAAGAGAGGCAGCCAACAAAAAATGAGTTTCCGCCACTCAAACGGACCAGCGGTGAGGTAAACAGGTCGAATGAGGTACCGTTCCATTCTAGCCTATGACACACCGCAAGCGGCGCATTATCGATGTGGGCACTTTTGAACCGTGCAAGGGTTGTCGTGAAGCCCACGTCTTCTTACTACCAGGACTGTCACTACACCGCGCATGTATTATTCGACGCGCACTACCGCTTCCATCGACTACGCTGCGCGCCGTTCGCATCGACTGTCACGTGACATTGGGCGCCGCAGAGTGCGCACGCAACACCTTGCCATTCCTAACCATGTCAAAATACCGCTCGGTCGTCTTCTCTTCCCGTGTGTAGTTATCTTCGCATTGTCGTCGGCATCTATCGACCTCGTCTACGGAAGGAGTCGCAGGCACAGGAAACTTCGCACTGCCGGGTCAGGACAGGAGGAGAGGCTCCAGGGTGCGAGGAGGAGATCGGATCGAATGCGAGTTGCTAGCTGCCGCCGGGCAGCTAAGTTCACCAACAGCTCGAGAAGGATACGAGCACCAGGGAGTCTTGTCTCAAGCAAGGGAATTCGAGGCCTCGGGGACGCACGGTCCGAGCGTGACACATGTCCACGGACACTCGCTCTTCTCCTTGCCCGAAGGTAGCGAGTGCCGACGACCCCCAGTGACGCAGGGGCTTGCCCGTAAGTTTCTATTCGCATTTGCTGTTGTATGAAGATAAATTTAGTACTCTTTCGTGTTGTTTCTTTCAACGATAGCTACATCGGGCAAGTAATTCTAATACCGCATTCTCGATAGTTTGTAGAATTCATTAGTAGTTTATTCTTGAATGTATATGTATGTACATCCCG